CCAGGAAGATGGTTGGAGACCTGGCTGAGGCCCGGCACCCGGTCCACTTTCGCGGGCTCCTGGCCTTGGCTAGGCGGCCGAGCTGGTGGGACTTGGCTTGGAGAGCACGACTGTCAGAGCACCCTCTCCTCCGGCCCCCCCAAACCACCACGGGAGCCCCTGCGCCCCCCGTCTGACCCGAAGCCCTGCTCCTTCGCCTTTACCCAAACGGGTGGGTCCGAGTGGCGCCGACGGCTTCCCGGTGCGCAGAGTTTCACTTTCTCCTGCAGAAGCCTGGGGCCTCGCCCCCACCCCCATTAAAGTCTCCCTCTGCCCGAAGGTTCTGGAGCTCTAGCAGGATTCCCCCTCCCCCCTCCAAGTTTGGGGCAGATTCTCGGTGCTTTGGGTGGGTTGGGGAGGGGGCGGGGCGCCGAGTCAATTAGTGGGAGGCGCCCCCTCGGCTCCGGTCGCGGGCGCTCCGACGCTCGGCCTGGGCCGCCGACGCGGACTCGGCCCCCAAGGGCGCTTTCGGGGTGGTTCCGAGGCCTTGCGGGGCCCCCGGCTTCTCTACCCAGCGCACAGGCTCGAAGATATTTCAGGAGCACGGGAAATTCCCAAGTTTTCCTCGTTTCCTCCGATTATTTTGCGCGGCATAATAGCAACCCGAATTCAATGGCGTGATGCTGAGGAATGATTTTTATCTGGGGATTAAACGTCTTTGAAAGGCAAGCCCCTCCCCGGGCCTAATGGCCGGAGAAGGTGGCCCAGCGCTGGCCTGTCGGCGCTGAAAGGAGTGTCCGCCCCTCGGGGGGCCCGGCGGAAATTGAGTCGGGGGCCCACGGCTTCCCCCAGACTCTCAGAGTCTTTGGGCAAGAAGGAGGGATGTTAACCCGAGATTTCGTTTGACTCACATCCTGGTGGTCGGAGGGCCCGAGGGATCATTTGTTTTTGTTTGTTTAAGGCATGAAAAAAATGCGTAATTAGGCAAAACCCGCATGGTGAAACATTCCAGATTTGAATTCATTTTACCCCAGAGGGAAGCTGCTGAGTATGCGGAACGTCCTTCCCGGGGCTTGGGAATTCCGGTCGGGGCCTCTGCCGGGACCCTAAAGTTGGCAGGGTCCCCATTGTCCTGGGTGTAATTTGTTTCACATCTTATCCGGCCACAGCCCCCTGGTGTGGCAAGAGTTGGCTGGACCAGTGGACCGGCCCCCCCGACCTGCTCCAGCCCATCCTTGCGGTCTCTGTTGAAGCCGTAAGAAAAAGACCCCCGAGCGCCGTGGATCTCTGCGGGACTGAGCCACAGGTCCAGAAGCCCCCAGCGGTTGCACACACCGCCTTCCAAGGGGACCCCACATTTGAGTGTGACCAGAGGACCAAGGCACTTGGGGCGGGAGAGGCCCAACGTACAACTGAGATAATCATAAGATCCGAAGAAGCCCGTTAGCATGGAGCTCCTCTCCCTGCTCCCTGCCCCCCGACACACAGGGCACTTTATATATTTAAGAGGCTTGGCCTAGGTGTGGCCTTGCGCCTGGGGACTGCCCCTAGAGCCCGGGAGGAACTTGCTGTTCCGAGGTAGAGACTGGAATTTGGAGATCCAGAGTCTACCACTCAGTGGCCTAGCCCAGCGCTGAGCGCTTGGTGAGCACAGATCAGTGTTCAGCCAGCACACCAAACCAAATGTGGTCTTGGGCTGGGCGCGGGGCGCTTCCTGCACGTTTGGTCACCCCTATTAGTAGGTCCATGGCCCCAATGTGCCTGGCAGTGGGAGGAGGTCCCGCTGAGACAGGCCTCCCTAAGCGGCCAGCTAGCATTCAGGCCGTTCGCTTCTTCCCAGTTAAGTTCGGGCTTTGAACATGGGTATGTTCCACCTGAGATTTCAGTTTCATCATTTGCAAAAAGTAGACAAGACCGTCTACCCTGCGGGGTTGTGGTGGGAATTGGAGAAAAATTACTTTCCAAGCGCCAACGCGCACAGTGGCCTGGCCCCAAGCATGAATTGCCGGAATTGTTACCCGCATTACTACTTTCGGGGGCAGGTGAAGCTCCTCAAGCTCTCTTAACCCCCTGCCTCTTTCTCTCTCGGCCCCCTAGGGCGGCTGAGCCCCCCAGCCTGCACCCTGCGCAAGCACAAGACCAACCGCAAGCCGAGGACGCCCTTCACCACGGCGCAGCTGCTGGCGCTGGAGCGCAAGTTCCGCCAGAAGCAGTACCTGTCTATCGCCGAGCGCGCCGAGTTCTCCAGCTCGCTCAGCCTCACCGAGACGCAGGTGAAGATCTGGTTCCAGAACCGCCGTGCCAAGGCCAAGAGACTGCAGGAGGCCGAGCTGGAGAAGCTGAAGATGGCCGCCAAGCCCATGCTGCCCCCGGCCGCCTTCGGCCTCTCCTTCCCGCTGGGCGGCCCTGCGGCCGTGGCAGCCGCGGCGGGCGCCTCGCTCTACGGTGCCTCTGGCCCCTTCCAGCGCGCTGCACTGCCTGTGGCGCCCGTGGGACTCTACACGGCCCACGTCGGCTACAGCATGTACCACCTGACATAGAGGGGCCCAGGGTCGCCTGCCTGTGGCACCAGCTGATTCCTCCAGCCCCGGCCTTCTGCCAGCAGCAGAGGCCTTCCCCGGCGAGCTCCTGGAGCTCCCCTGTTCGGCACCGCCTGGCTCCTTCCCTTTAGCTCCCGCACTGCTCTGGTTTTCTCCTAGGTTGCTCCCTGACTTCACTCTCTGAAGTCTGATCCTCTCCCAAAAGGAGTGACTGGAAGGGTCCCTTTTGTTCTAGAATCTAGACCCATCCCCTCCTGTTACAGATGGGGAAACAGAGGCCAGAGAGGTTAAGAAATGTAACCACCGGGTCCCCAGCAGAGTTAGTGGTTGGATCAGGACTCAAGGCCACTTCTCCGGCATCCCTGCCTCCTGTCCTGACACCAGGCAGGAAAAGCCCAGAGAAATTCATGTTGGAAGATTTCGGAAAGAACCCAGTGGGAGAGAAGAGCGCCCCGGAGAGATGGGCCCCGGGCAGGTCCTTCCATTGGACACACAACTGCAACAGCAAACCATTCGCTTTGGGTGGAGGGGGAGGGGGGGATACACTGATGCGTTACAAAGGTAGGTTGAGGGGACCTCTCTCTTACCAGTACCAGAAAAAAAAAATTGTATAATAAAAATTTAAAATTCTGTTTCTATTTAACAGTACATTTGTGTGGCTCTCGAGTATCCCTTTGGAAGGGATTGGGTGTAATATACTGTATATTTGAAATTTTATTATCATTTATATTATAGCTATATTTGTTAAATAAATTAATTTTAAGCTACAAGAAATGATCTCTGTACTGATTTCGTCTTTCGTTTGGATTCTGCTTCTTGCCATCTCCTCCCGTCCATGATCGCTTCTCAGTGTGATGGTAGTTTTTATACCAGCCCCTTTCAGAGGTGCCAGCTGGACATTCAGGGACAGAAGGGGGGTGTCCTTTTGAACACACCGGACAGATCTGCATTAGCAGAGTCAAGTGGACAATTGAAGCAATTACCTAGGATAATTAGGCTCAATTTTCCAATTCACTTTAAGCTGAAATCGACACTTGTTCAGGCGACCCAGAACCGACTCTTTCTCTCCCTCCCCCCCCTTTAACCTGTCTTTGAAACAAAGCGAATCACCCAAGTGGTTTGATGACTGTGGACAGCTAATCCAGGCAATTCCCACCCCGCCAACCTGTTTTTCCCACCAGAGGCAAGGTGGGGTTGGAGGTATTGCTTTGCTGCTCTCCCATCCCGGGGCCGGGTTTGTGGAACTAATTTCGAGCTGCCAGAATGTGAGCGCCTTCATACCCCAATTACGACTCCTAAAAAAAAAATACTGAAAGCCCCGGGCCACCGCTTCCCGCCTTTGCGTGAGTCCTGCCTCCAGACTCTCACAAACCTGTGTTTCTTTTATATCGAAGGTTAAGTTCAGGCTTCCAGAAGAATATTTTGGAGTGAGCGCCACGTGGAGCCTTCTGGGGGGAATTCTGCTAGGATGTTGAGGGCAGAAAATCACTTCTTAGCCAATAAAGCCTACTATGTTCCAGGCACCGCTCGCTCTGTTCTTTCGAGTTGGGGGCCCCCCGGCTTAATTCTTAATTCTCACAAGATCTGCGTGCGCCTCTCCCCACCACCCCGCCTCGGTCCCGCAGGGGCTGGCGCCTCCAAACCCCACGCAGGACAGCCCCGGCCGCCACTGCAGTGGGGCGAGCCCTTAAGACAGGAAGCCAGCAGATGAATGGTTGTTAAAACCTGAAGTACCTGGCGTTGGACTTGGGGAGAGTGGACGTCTCCACAGATAGAAACCGTTGCGCACTGTGGGAACAGTCTGGGGCGCGCTGTGTAAATCTAGCCGCAGGAACGGAGGTCTGCCCAGGAATTCCCAGAGAGCGCAGGGTTTCGTTACAGGGTACCCTGGATCTCGGATCCTTCAGCGTCTGTCGCTCCAGCAGATATTCCGTTCGGGTGGCTGGGTCTGCAGTCCGAACTTGTCACAACTCCCTCTTGCGGCACCAGAGAGTCTGGGGGATCCCCGGCCTCTGGGCTTCCAGAAGCGCAGCCAGAACCCGAATCTGGGCCTCTCGTCCCCAAGAGCATAGAGTTACATTTTTAAAAGTTCTCAGACTCGCATGTCCGCACGGCCCTTTAGAGACGTTGAGGGCTGAGGTACATCGCGGCTTCTTGCAGACAGAGAAATAGTTTTTCCCCCTTATAAACTAAGCAACCCGAGTGGCCATGCGCAGGACACCCTGGCTCCCACAAACCTTATGGGTTCCTTTCTGGAACACCCCCTGGCAACCCTCCTTTCCTGGGGATAACCCTGAACTTGTCAGACAAAACAATGTGGTTCCTCCCAGCCCTGCTACTGACTGACTTTGGGTAGAGAGGAACTCTGCCTCTTCCTTCCTCAGTTTTCTCACCTGTGAAATGGGCCTGGGAAGCTTTGCCCCGCCCCTAGAATTTTGGAGAAGCGTCACGGAGCCCTGTGCATAAGGGCGCCCAGGGAATACTGGGTGGATCTGAATTTCCTCAGTCCATGGCGTGTCCGCGGCACCGGAGTGATTTCAGCACGCGTAGGATTAGGGGAATGGTGAGGCTCGTTCGGGTGTCTCCTTCGGCTGGGGTTTGACAATTTAGGGCCCAGGCAAATTCGGAGCAGCATAATTGCAATAATGGCAAGAGCTCGTGTTCTACTGGCGCCTGGGCTCCAGTGAGGCGGTAGCTGCAGGCGAGGCTGGCGCTCCCCCTTCCCCGACCCAGGGACTGCTCGGGAGTGGAAGGGGACCCCACCCTGAGACCCCGCCAGCTGGCCTTGGGTCCAGGTTTCCTTCCACTTCTATGCCCCTAGTTTTCTCATTTTTATTTCTTTTCGTTCAGCCCTTTCTCTGCCCCCTCTTCTGCTTCTGAATTCCCTCTCTCGACAGGGCGTGTGCACAGAAGGCGCTCAATAAATGTTTGCTGGATCGGAGCGGAGCGCTGGTGTGGGGCGAGGGCCCCCAGCAAGGTTCTGCCCGGACGGGTGGGACGGACACTGCTTTTCATGCACCCCAGTCCTTCAAACTCCACTGCTTGTTTATCAAGCGACGGCAGAGCGGGCTGGGGGTTCCCAGGCCCCATCAATCATGGCGGAGTCTCCACCGAGGCGTCCCTCCGCAGGGGTTCCAGTACCAGAGGCCCCCTCCGAGCCTCCCCAACAACCCCAGGAGATTTTTTTTTTTTTTTTTTTTACCAGGGAGATGACTGTGGTCCAGAGAAGTTACATGATTTTCCCAGGTCACACAGCCAATAAGGGGCAGAGCAGGGATTTGAATACAGATTCCACTGCGGAACCCACGCTTTCCTCTGGGCACTGCCCAGTTCCCTCTCCTTGGGGGTCGCATGTACCAGTCCCACTCTGCTGTAGATGGCCAGAGAAATGGGCTTGTTGCTGGAAAACAGGGCCGGCTCTAGCTCTACGAATTTAACTCCTTCCTGCTCTGACCCCGAGCAAGGGAGCAAGCGCAATCCTTTGGGGAAAAAGAGGGCATCCCCCCTGCCCTGCCCGCCGCTGTGAGGGCGTTCTCATTTTATTGGGGAGGAGACTGAAGCCTCAATCTGCAAACTGAGCTTCTGGCCACGCTGGCAGGGCAAAGAGGCCCGTGCGCGGTCCCTGGCGTGGAAACCTGGGCAGGAACGAGATTAGCCGGCGGCAGGGGATCTGGGGCGCTCCCAGCCCCTCGGTGTAGGTCGGAGGGGCCATAGGGTCGGGGATCTGTGAGGCTGAGGTGGGGCCACTAAGAGCACCGTTTTTAGGGTTCGTTCCTCTGCTCCCTGACCGTGGGGCTGAAGGCCCATGTCGTGCCAGAGACCCCGTGAAGACAGTGACTCACGAGGCGGGGGACCTCCAGTGGCAATCGATGGCTGTGAAGCTGTGAACGTGCCTGCACCACCCCACCACGCCCCACGCACCGAAGGATCCCCCACTCTCGGCCTGGAGGTGAGCCCGGCGGCCTGCGCCCTGCCCGGAGCCCTCCGAGGCGCAATGGGAGGCAGCGCGGAGAGGCCACAGCCGCCTTTCAACTTGGCGCTGGCGCCGCTTGGCCGGGCCCCGGCCGGAGGCCTCCCCAGCTCTGCCCCAGCCCTCCCAGCCGATCCCACAGTGGCACGGCCGGAGGTCCCCGGAAGCACCTTAACCTGCCCTCCCCGCCCCCACGACCGCTAAGTGTCCATTCCCTAGAGTACCTGGGAGCCTCACTGCAGGGTCTCGGGTTTCCTTCTGCTGGACCAGACAGCGCCCGCCCTCAGCGCCCCGCCCGCCGCTCCGGGCCTGGAGGACCCTCTCCCACTCCGCTGCTTCCCCCACAGCGCCCTCCCGCGGCCCGTGGGCCCACAGCCCAGGCTCTTTGCAGCGCCTGCTGGGCCTGACGCTGGACTAGGCTCCCTCCACGGCAGAGAGCGCCTGCCCACACCTGCACCCACGCGGGCGCGGGGCGCACACGCACACGGGACCAACACACATCAATGCATGCGTACACAGCACACCAGCATGCATCGCAACAAACACACATCTAACATGCAAAACCAGCACAACACATGCAACACACACACAACCAATGCGCAGATACCCAAACACACCCAAACAGCATACACCATACGCACAAACAAAAGCAGGACACATCACCAACCACACACGCAGCCAGCAAGTACACACCCCAGATAATACCTCCCAAACACACGCAATACAACGCACATCTCATACACACACACACAGCCAAACACAGACCCCAACCACACGCAAGCTGCGTAGGCTGAACACTCAGCACACACAAAACTAATGCCCACAATCAACCCACGCATCCTAATAAACACACAGCCCATTGAAGAGGCAAATATGCACCCTCAAGGTCACCACCCTCTAACATCTTACAGTTCTGCCACCTAGGACCTGGTGACACTGGCAGACACACATCATCTTGGGGGAGAAGACCCAGAGATAGACATTGATTGGGCGCCAGATAAACCCCCTGGAAATGATGTCCTGAGAGATGCCCAGCAGAGAGGCCCAGAGATGCCACTGGAAGCCCCTAGGGTGCCACAGGAGTGAGCTCCAAGCAGTTTGCTGAGTGGAGGAGTCGGGGCGGGTATGTGGGAGTCTGGCTCCCCTGCCTGTCCCTGCAGTCAATCAATCCCAAGTCGCAGACTTTTCGCTGGGAGGCAGCAAGGATCCACTGAGGGATCGCTGGGTACTTCCTTACAAAACTGAGGTGACTGCAGCTCTCCTTTCTCCTCCGGGGGCTTCTCCTCTGCAACCCCCCCGCCCCTCCGTCTTGCATACCCGCCTTCTCCTGCCTCTGCAGAGAGCCTAGGAATGCCTTTCCCGGAATCAGATCCCGAGCTCTGCTGTGCTTGCTGAACGCAGGCCCAGGATCTGGAATGTCACTCAGTAACCCAGCTCCCCCACCCCCCACCTCTGACGGAGAAGGTGGTGCTTCAAGAAGCAGTCTTCATCCCGAGGGGCAGGCGGTGAAACCACCTGGTCTTAGGAATCCTGGTTTGGGCACTTAGTAGCTGTGTGACCTTGGGCAAGTTACTTAACCTCTCTGAGTCCCACTTTCTTTATATATAGAGTGTGGAGTCATGGTAACAACCTCTTTATATTATAATGGGTATAAAATGAAATGTTCTTGAGATGTTTGGCACTGCGAGCATTAAACGTTGATTGTGACTACTTAAAAGAGACGATCTTGGGGGTAGGTGTCAGTATCTCCCTGGAGACTCCAAAAGACAGTTCTGCCAATGACTCAAACAAGAGGCTTGAATCTCAGCGTCTGTCTCTC